CCCACCAAGAGCCGGGGTCTGTCGGAGGTTTCTTCCGTTAAAGGGAGTTTTTCCTCCCCACTGTCGCCAAGTGCTTGCTCAAGGGGGATTTGTTGGGTTTCCCCTCTGTAATAATAGTGATAACAGTAAGGTCTAGACCTTACTTTGTAAAGTGTCCTGAGATGACTTTTGTTGTGATTTGGCGCTATACAAATAAAATTTTATTTGATTTGATTTGATTCTCATTCTCTGCGTCGCACAGTGAAAAACAGTACTTGCTAGCGTAGCCACAATGTTTCTGACTGCTCTGCCTTGATCCTAGTGGGCATCTAGTGACTGTGCCTGTCTACCATCAACTGACAGGAGCTCCTCTTTGTTATTAAACATAACAGGGAAAATGTTAAATGGCTCAGGAACTACTGTCTTCACCAAACGGCCACCAAGATGTCTACCCTTTGTCACTTTGACCTCGTCTGTGGGTACACCTGGAGGACACCTGCAACACCTATGAACATTTGTAACATTTGGACACCCAGTCATTATTTTGCTGACAGCATGAAGAGCATGTCGTGCTCAATCACAAGGCACCTCAGAGTGAACTAATAGATGGTGACAATGAAACAGATCAAACAAACACAGCGGTGTAACTCAGGTGTGGTATGTTTTATGTCACAACAGTATTTGGGTGTCATCAGACTGCTGCACCATTGCACAGCAAACTAGAAAAGACACTACCTTTGTACCAAAATTACCACTGCTGGTATTTATAATGAGCACTAAAAGTATAACTCCGGGCAGTCCTGTCTCTTCTCTTTGGCATGTTAGACCAGACAATCAGAATAGCAAATGCTCCAGACCTTGGCCCCAGCATTGCACAGATTAGTCCACACAGCACTGTTCTATTGTGATCAGACATGCCCTCTCTCCGTGTAAGACTGTTTGAGTGCAATGCATATCAATTGGATATTTACATCTCTCTGTGGATTTGCAGCTCTTGCAGATGTCTGTACTGCTGTAGATGAACACCACAGCTATTATGAACAATAACAGCCTGTGTGTGTGTGGCCTAGTATTATTCATGTTGTGGGGCTGTAAATATGTTTACACCGGTCACACTGTGGGGACTCGACATCCTTATGGGGACAAGAAGCAAGACCCTAGAATGTAAATCACTACATTTTAGGTTTAGGTTAAGGTTACAAAAGGAAAACAAATAAAAGAGCAGGTGGTGATTGGGTGACTGAGATCTAGTTAGACCTGTACGATTCATCAAAGGATCCTGTTCCCTGGAGCTGCAGAGTGAGGGGGGTCTTCACCAAGGGAGACAGGATCACCACCGTGGCTCTGAACTCTCTGTCCTCACTAAAACAGATAGTACAGTGTTGACGTCTGAAACGTATGCATGTTTTAGATATGGTGGCTATGTTAATAGTTTTATATTTAAAGTATAATCTTAACATAATCCCTGCTTAGGCATTGTAATTGTGGTGTGTGCTTTGTCACCTGGGAGTGAACCTGATCTGAAGACTCTGGCAGCAGCGGCTGACATGCAGCTCCTGGGACCTGAGAAGCCCAAAGTCTGGTGTCACTCTGAACACATGTGAGTCCCCTTCATCTGACTCTACATACAGAAACACACAGTGAAACTACAAACAATACCGTGATGTCAATAAACTGACTGGAAAAGCTGAAAACTGGTTATAATAAGGAAAAAGAGTCAGACACTCTACTGCTACAAAAAATAATGTGGTAGGCCCAACATATATATAAAAACTGCCTGATTCCAGTTAGTATAGTCAGGTTGTTTCCACTCTGAAGAGCTAAACAACCCACAGAGCCAATTAAAAGCACTGAAGTAGGATCAGGAAATACAGAAAATGTCTTGGTGGTTACCGATAACTGATTTCCAGTAGGTGTGGGCTCCATGACAGTAGAGGTTTACTTCTTTTGTCTCTGTCTGCCCCACGTAGCTGAAGCCAAAGTTGATGCTGTTACTGGACAAACACAGTGTAGTAAGATCCAGGAGGGCACGGAGAGGCACTAACTGTACAGAGCAAAGAAGAAATTAAATGAACTTTCTAGCAGTTTTATTCCCACCTGAGATTTATTACATTCTCTGACCTGAAGGCTGTTATTGCTGTAGTGAATCAGGAGGTTTTGCTGGAACCTCAGCTTCCTTTGTCCATGTGCAGCGGAGATCAACGCCACCCCGGTGGGGGCTTCCACATCTGGCTGGTCCACATGGTCCAAAAGGGACAGGGAGCAATGGAAGGCCACTTTCACCTGGTATTCACAAAAAAAAGAGTACAACCTACTGTCAAAAATAACAAGTTAACAGAGCATCCTTGAAAACATAACATCTGTGCCTTTGTTGATTTCCCTCTTCTCATCACACCTGCACACTGTGTTGTGGTTGCAGCACTACAGACCGACTGCTAGAAGTGCTGGTCCCTGCTTGAGAATGAGGTTTGAGCACTACAAATGGAGGCTGGGTCCCCAGCCGGAAGCGTAGGGGCATCTCTGAGGTGTTTCTCAGCTGAAGGGTCTGTGTCATGTTAAATTCTTGCACTTCTAGCTGTAAATCAAGGCAAACAAATAAACAACCACTGCGCATGACACATCAGACATACTGTACACCTTCAAGATCAGTACTTCATGAATGCATTCCAGTAGCTCAGACCAGTAGGACTGACCTCCTTCTCTGACTTTGCTCTCAGTAGATCACCGGCCGAGGCATGAAACTCGAGTACCCCCTCATCCTCCTCCATCTGCACTAACAGCCTGCAGCAACAGGGAGCCAAGAAAAGTTATGCAACTTAATCAGCCCACCTCTGAGCTGCTTTTGCTTAACATCAGCTGATTTTAATTCGGCTAACATAAACTGACTCAGATGCATCAGTGTTTTTGGTTGCATAAATAGTACGACTGTAACTGCTTACACTGCAGGTTTAACAGCTGCTAGGAGGTCTATTCTGACAGGCTCCAAACCCAAACCCTGAGCCCTTACAACTTTACCCGGGACAGAGGCAGCCAACTGCAAACACACACAACAACACAATAAGGAAATTTAAGGCGCATCATAATTATTCTCAGTCTGTCTTTTCCAGGATGTAATATAGCGATATACCACTTAGGGTATTTGGCATGTTACATGTTACCTCAGAGTTCAGACTCATGAAACCCAGAGCCAACCCCACACAACTGGTCTCAACAACTGACCCAGAAAGAGTCAAAGGAGTAAAAGATACATGGATTGTGCTGCTGCTCTTTGCTGGAATGACCTTTAAATATGCATCAGAAAGAAAAACAGTTATTCAAATGATTTAAAAAAGTGTTTAACTGGTAAAAGGCATGCGTGAAATTTCACCAACATACGATTTGCTGAGGCGTGATGCTGTAGGGATAATCAGAGAGGGTGCCCACATGAGGTCGGATGTGGACAGAGAGGAGTTTTTTCTTCACAGGAGCAGAATAAAGACCTGAGGTATAATCATCCTCAGTTATAGATTCCTCCTGTTCTCCATCCTGAGATCAATAGCAAGAATAAAGCCAAAGTACCAAATGTGCATTCATAAGTAAATTCTCAGAGACAACATCACAAAAGTCATTACGTTTGTGTGTCTGTGTCGCAGTGTTAAACTCACAGTCGCGCTTTGGAGGGAGGCAGTTGTTCCCTCTGAGCTTGGCGTCTGGTTTCTTTCCCAGGTTCTTTGAATGTTCCCATCAGAAAGCCTTAATGCGCCGCTCATCACCTCATTGCCATCAATGTCTTTGAGCGGGAAAGCATCTCCATACACCACCACAAGATCCACCAGCTTACGGTCATTCTGATCTATATTGTATGTCTCCCAGTCCATACGAATATCTGACAGCAAATAAAGGTTGAGATTAGAGAACTTTATTAACCTCAAAAGAGAAGCTAGTTACTTTTACACAGTGACAGATTACGAAAGATATGACATAAATAAGAGAGGTCACAACAGACAATATGTGAAAAATATAATGTTGCTACTTCTGGGATACAACCCATGTCTCACTAAAGACCAAATTGTCATTTTCAAACTAAGAAATAGTTTAAAATGTCCTTTTTCTAATGAATAGGGAGTCAAACCAAGTATAAAACCAGCCTTTTACTGTAAATATATTTATTAATACTGTTTCTATTATTGGCAGTTTCTGTTTACCCAACATATAATAAATGTGAAGGTGCAGCAGTTTCTCTCCCTGGCCAGGATGTTTTTATGTGTACATTTACCAGACACGGTGGGATTGTTGATGCGAAGAGAACGAGACACCGTGTCACCTCCAGATACATGAGCACCAAACCTACCGAACAAAAAGATATCTGATAATGCTAATTTTTTTTTTACATCATTATCAAATATATATAAATATATGGCTTTAGTTGGAGAAATTAACAATGATACAAACCGTATGGTTGGTCCTTGGTTCTGATTATCTGGTCGTGGGCCTGTCATCTGGAAGTAGAGCGGACAGCCTGTCACTGTCATTTGCATGAGGAGGAGCGTGGGGTCAAGGTCCCCGACCTGCAAGAGGAACATTATATCTCAACATTATTCATCAGTCCACAACAGAATGAAGAGGGTACATACTGGGCATAAAAATGTATTTGCAGTGTAAAGTAATTTCTGCTTCTGAAATTCTTGTTAGGCCCTATAACAAAGCACCATACTTTGCATATAAGATGATCTTTGTATTCTCCCCAGATGTCAGTGTAGGCAGTCACATCCACAGTCTGGGTCTCAAATGGTCCCAGTGTCCCTGTGTTTGGCAGGACAAAGAAAGCTGCACCTTTTCCATGAGCCAGCAGGCTGCTCACAAACTCTACAAATGGAGACAGAAATACAGACTCAAATACAGTAGACCTCAGTCTAGTTCAGTTTAAAAATGTAGAAAACAATAAGTGAAAGCATACCCTCTTGTGTCTTCACTTCTGCTTTCTTTGCTTGAAAAGAGTGAAGCGGTTTCTTGACATATGGCAATCTACGATTAAGATGCAGCCCGTGTCACATCTAAGGTACCGTAAAGCTGTTCTTTTATGCATTATTTATGACAGGTGCTTTACCTTTTCTCTGCCTGGTTGCTTGGTTTTGAAGCATGGCAGGTGAAATACTCTGCCTCTATGGTGAAAGGGGCAGAGATGGGAGTTTGATTGGTTATCAGAAACTGCTTAGTAACAGCTCTCTTCAAAATAACATCATCTCCAAAGTTGAGCACTAGTGTTGAGGGACTCTCATCATCTGGATCAGAGCTAAAAGCAGAGAACAGAAGTCATATTTTACAACGATGTGATGCAGATAGTGGGCGACTAGCAACTAGGTTTAAAGTCAGATTACCAGACATTGGGCAACGAGTAGGACACACAGAGATTCTTGGTTTTGGAGGCCAAAATGCCAAGAACAAGTGGAGAGTTCATCCCTTGGATCTCACAGAGAGCAGCCACCTCACCCACCTCCAGCTAGACAGAAAGGCAAACAGGAGGGTAAAGCATGAAACTGAATAAGGAATCTGTGACTTCACCAACCACTTCACCTTGACTCTCACTTGTTAAATTGGCTTCTTCGGTGATAAATCAGGTGTGTTAACAACTTGTGCTGTAGACTAATACTTACATCTGTGTGAGAGGTAAAACAAACTGTGATCTCAGTGCTGGCATTAGGTCCCAGAATACCCGAAGTGGGGTCAAAACTGGCAGTACACAGTGACGCCTGTTGACCCTGTAGCTGAGCCTAGTAGAAAAAAGGGAAGACCGACATCACCAAATGGTAACTGTATTTAAAAATGTCCTTATTTTAGTAAATTTTGTCTAGGGAAAAAACTGAAAACCATTTTCCCCATTGATAATGTGTCCCCAAACAACCTTACACATTATACACATTAGAACCCATAGGGATAGGGTTACGGTTTTGTTTCTTAATGCAACATTCATTGTTTATACAGTGAATTAAGAGTTGATTAAATGGTAAAGTAGTACAGCATACCAGCCATCTGAAGTGTGACGGCAGCAGAGTCTGGTTGAAAAGAGTGACCGTGCCCTTGGCGGGGACTCCAATGTAGAGGTCAGTTAGTAGCATTTCACAGTTTAGCAGACACACCTGAGGAGACTGCACGTCTGCACGCACTGACAGGTGACTGCAAGTAACACATATGTAGTGCTATTATACCAGGGTCACATCATTAATGCTCTGTATTACCACTGTTAAAGGCTTGTTCTCCTGCATGACTTTTGCCAGCTGCATTAAACACAAGGGTTAAATAAAGAAACATTTATATCTTAGCATAAACCTTAAGAAGAACCGTAAAGCTATGTAACTATCCTTACCATCCTGTTCCATTCTCCACTGTCAGCTCCAGCTCTGTTTCAAATTTCTGGGAGAAATGTGGCCTAAAGAGCACCTCTATACTGCAAGACGCCAAGGGGGGCAGTAGACCTCCGCACGGCTTGACTAATATCTAAGTACCAATACAGATGACCAATATAAATGACCCATTATACAGTATAACAGAAGTTACAGTGAACATTAATAATGAATGCTAACCAGCTGTAAACATCTTAACATCTGTATTTTCTTATTACATGCATTCTGCCATATTCGCCCTGTACCTGTGTGTCTTCATGATTCTGTTGGCTGTTAAGCTTTTCCTCCATTGTCCAGGAGGCCTCCAACTGTGTGGAGTTGGTAAGGAGCAGCGTGGTCTGGGACTGCTCCCCAAGCCTCATGAGCCCAAAATCCACACTGGGCACACTGAGGGTCAGTATGGGACCCTGTCCAAAATCAAATGATGAGAATAAAGAGGTCACAGCTCACACACAAACTATACCGAGAGAAATCTTGCAACAGGAAACCGTTGTCATGACTCGAGTCAGAAACTTTTTTTTGTCTGTTAATGTTGATAGTGTTTTTTCTTACCTTGAAGGAGACTTCCACAGCCAAGGTGATGGGCTCATGGTGGTGTTCTATGTGACAAACCAGACTGGTCACAAGCCTCTCTGGTTTCCCTCCAGTCACAATTAGATTGAAATCAAAGCACTCATTCTCCTCTGGACACAAAAATGTCAAAGACACATCTCTCAGTTAATAAAACAATAAATCAAACAATAGGAAATGTATTTAGAATGTGCAAATTCAAGTGAACCTAATTAAAGAGACTGTGTTGTTATAGTTTTGATGTTACATTGAATTGTGTGACACACCTATTCTACCAGTAGAGGGCTCTACTTCTATGATGTGGCTGGTGCTGTTCATCCTTTCCCACTGAAAAAAGATGAAGGTCTTGCTGTGGTTCCACATCTGATATACCCAATAAATAAAAAACAACATTTGTAACTGTAATAGTGGCACAAAATGATTTGATAGAAATGTCATTTCTGACAGTGACTTAAATAACCTTGAACTGCCTGTGGGTGGATGTGGAAATAAAAACCTCTCCCGGGATTACAATAGCATATGGCTCCAGTAGGACCTGGTATGGCTCTGTTGATCCCTTGACCTCTATCTCCATGACAATGACATCACCCACGTTGGACCCTGTGCGCACAGGCTGAAGGGTTCTAGATTTGCCACACACAGCGAGATACAGTCCAAAACTTTGTCAAATGCCAAAGGAGTTTAGTACACTTGTATGATGTCAGAGTTCTTTGTGCTGCTATTTGTACACATTATATTTACAGGACACAAACTCCTACCACTGTATACATGAAACAGCACTTTACCTGTTTTCACTGGGCTCTGGTGGCAGCTGTGGTACGTCCCTCAGGACTAAGTGACAGACACTGTGGTAGTCCTTCAACTTAAAAAATACAGCATTCTTTAACCATAAACAGTGATATAATATATTTGATAAATAAACCTCTGATTTTTGTTTTCTTCATCGTTCATATTGCATATTCTTGGTACCTCTTTAGGACAAAATGTAAACAGGAACTCTTGGTCGTGGCAGGGGCCCAGAATGCCTGATAGTGGGCTGACATGAAAAACATCATCTGTGGCCAGGTGAAACTGGATATGGGAAGGCTCTGGAGTTTCCCCTGGAAGCAGAGGGTGCAGGTTGGGCTTCATAATCTGCCAATGGAAAGGCAGCTCCAAGTGGCTTTAACATCAGAAAGAGAAAAAGAAATAATGTGATATTTAATGATCCCTGAAGGGAAACTCTTTTTTCTTCTTGTAGTGCTATAACAAAGAGCAGCACAAGGTCAATGACAGAACAGCAGCCCTGAGTCAGTACTTCCTTTCTTACTCATGGACATGTCACCTAAAGGATGCTAACTCCAGCTTGGGAGTGGTCTACTTCTCTATGTTATTCTGTGGTCAAAAACAGCACAGATGAAGTGTGTGTTTGTTGTGGAGAGCCATTAGAACAAAATCAGTTAAAAACCTAAGATCTTTTGCCATTTCATGCGCCGTAGTGATGATATATGAAGATGTGAGGCTTACACATTGTTTCTGATGATGAGTGTTTTCTGTTGCACAGAGTGAGGGTTACATGGGCTGAAACGGACAAAGTGGTCTGCAGTGAGATCGTGCACTTCCCCAACTACAGGAGGCTCCCTCTCCCCAGATACACACACAAGCTCAAGAGCAATCCGGTTGCCTTCACCTGGAAAACACATATCATAGAGTGAAAGGGTAAAAATCCAACAAAGCATATTTAACTTTACACTAGAGGAACTTTAAAGCATTAGAAATTCTACAGACCACTGTAAACATTCACCTTCAATGGAAATGTCTTTCACCTGACAGTTGTCACAGACAACAGTGAACACCTGACAGCTCCTCTCAGCAGTGGTGGGAAAGAAAACAACCTGCAAACACACATACGCACACAAATACAGTACTGTGCACATTAGAAACACACACAGCGCTGTATAGAAGTGAAACTTAAAAACTGGGGAGTAGATTCACCTCCACTACCGTGGCCTCTCCTGGCTGCAGCACAAAAAGAGAGGGGCTGACTGCAAAAGGTGGCTGCTCAGTAAAGTAAGTTCTGGCTACAAACTATATAAAGAAAAAAGAACTTGTCAAGTACATGAAAGATCTCTTCCTCACAATATGTCACTGATACAGTTCCTGTTTTACACATTACAATATGTGTCAGACACATGTTTACCCTAAGGTTCGAGGCTGGCCACTGGTTCTTGGGGATTATGCAGAAGGTCCCAGCACTGAGGCCAACATTTTGGCACAGGAACTCAACAAACTTTACTCCTCCAATCAGACAATAACCACAGTCCAGAACTCTTGGTACTGAAAAAGAATTAATAATAATTAACAATATTTGACCAAATACACTGACAAGCATAACAACATAAAGTTAGTAGACTATAATGAGACTCACAGCTGAGAATTGGAGGGGGTCGTCTGGCTACAATGGGCACCACAAACAGGTGCTCGGCCTGAGTCTCCACCACTATGAAGTCTTCATAATCTGCCAGGGAGTCTGGAGCGAATCGCACCATGTACTTACAACTCATCCCAGGGGCAACAACACCACCTTCACCAGGAAACCTCCCTGCCAAACATGCCTGAATATCAGTCCCTTATTATAGTCAGTCTATATAACTGTGCTTTTAGTTGTGTGCAATCTAGTTTCCAACCATTAAGTGTTTGTTATAGTAGGTGGCACTAATATTCACATACAGAACTGCAACAGCAAAACCAGAATATCAAAACACACCAGCTAACTGCATTCCAGAGATGTATGACGTTTTTCTTGTCAAAACAACCTGGCGTTCCTTTTTGATACCATCACTGACACCTAACACACTTGATGAGTTCCTCAGTACCACAAGGCTATGTAATCCAATCAGAACAAAAAGGACAAGCTCACCCAGGCCAATAGAGAAGTAAGGAGTGGTAGGAGGGAGGACTCGGGCATGACGGCTTGTGGAGGTCAGGTTTTTCAACTCCAGTGTAATCTGTGACATGACAGGGCAGGGCCTGTTACTGCGACTCATCTCACACTGAAATATGCTAAACAGTAGTGCTGGATGCCCTGAATTTTTACCTTTATTATCTAAGATTAGTATACTTGAAACTTCTAAGACACACCTCATAAACATGTCCCACACTGTAGTCAGTAAAGACTACCACTGGAGGGTTCGCTAGGAAGATTGGGACAGGATCATCAGGTGGGCTTTTAGACAGAAAGAGCACAAACACAGTGTGAGTATTCAGTAGAAAATTCTCACAGGAAGTGGTGAGCTAGGTAACAAGCTTATAGCGTGACATTCTACAAAACCACAAAGCAAACATTTCTAATTTCTCTTTGTTCACATAACAATGCCGAAATGTTTTGCCTTTTATCCAGAGCTGCAGTAACATGGCCAAGGCCTTAGCTCATCTTCCTGTCCACAAAATCTGACTCTCATGAGCACTGTGTGCCGATTAAACATAAACCAAATACAGTAAAAACTGAGTACAAAGTTAACACTATCTTATAATACCTTACAAAGCATGGATGTTAAATATCCAAATTACAGTTACATCATTGCCATAGCTGCCACTCTCATGTGATAGAGCTTGCTGACAAAACAGCAGCCAGACTGTGTTATCCCACATTTAGTTGTTGCTAACAGAGGTGGTATCCACATGCAAAATCTAAGTGAGCTGTCTTTTTAAAGGTACACTTGGCTTTCATGGAAGGATGTGTCTTGCTTTGTATTGAGATGGTTTTCTCCTACCTGTGCATGTGAGAAGTCTGACCTCCAATTTGCTAAGAATCAATCTATATGTTAATAGAATATGTCAGATGGCAAAAACTGTTATTCTCTTGAGATTCTCAGACTAATGAGCAGGAGAAACAACTCTTATGTTGTGTTGAATTGAGTTATATAGAAATAGAACTATGTTTTGCTGTAGAAATGCGATGCTGACACCAAATGTTTCTGCCCACAGTATGTAGCAATCAAGGCAACTCTACAGATTTTGATCTTTTTTGTCATAAATTTTTTATCATTTTAATTAAAACATTAAAGATGCAATCCAAAGACACACAGCCTGGCAGATAATGTGAAATTAGGTCAAGTCCACAGTCCCACTGAACACATCTCTGCTCTGGCACAAAAGGTCCAGCACTGTTTGCACTGACCTAATTTTGTGCTTGTTTGCTTACTCGTTTAATATTGAAGAAGGATTGTTTGACCCGGGCTTTGTGTATTTCATCCACTACAACCCATGAAAGATTTTCATATGTGACCTACTATATCAGTATTGTCCCTTTATCACATTTGCTGCTCCACTGTGTTAAAATAACAAATATTTACTGTGAAATGATAAAAAGGGCCTTTATACTCAGCACATTTGAAGCACCTTTGCGCCTCTACCCCTTTCCTCTCACGCTCTGCCTTCACCGCTTTGGTCCTGGGTCGAATGAGCGATCTAACACCCTGCGGTGCATTTGGAGGAAGGAAGCGAGGATTGCGTAGGAAGCTGTGACCATCTTTCAGCTTCAGCAGTTTCTCTAACCCCATGACCTGATCCTTAGCACTCAGTTCATCCTTCCACTTTAGTCTGGCTTTGGTCTGTTTTGGCTTCTAAAACACATGACATGTTACTGACAAATAACAGTAAGTTTCAAAGCTGCAGAAAGGAAACACGGGAAAAGAGAGAGGGTATGACATACAGTATGACGAAGGTCTCCAGCTAGAACTGAATCATGAAATTGCAACACAGTTATGACTAACAGGACTGTCACAGATTTTAATAATGTTTTATATTTTGTATTTATAGTACCTTCAAGTGATTACAACTCCCTCCTTCCCTGAATTATCTTTTAGGTCAGTTCTAAAAGCTCTAAGGAGCTGATTTTAATTATGTTCTCTTTGTGTATTGTATTCTTATTGTTGTCTCCTCTTTAAGTCATTAGTTTCACTGACTTCATGAGTAGTTTTAATTGTATTTAGAAAAAAAACAGTATGAATTTATTAATTATTTGTGCATATAAAGTATCTTGCTTATTAGCTATGTAAGCACTTCACTCCTCACCTCCCCTGGAGTTTTCTTCCTCTTCGGGGTATCTGAACTAGACTGGAAAGTCAGGCTGAGCTCTGACTCATTCATTTCTGTGACAGCCTTTTCAGAACTGGGAATCAGTGTATAACCATCATCCTGAGGTTCCCGGGATATGTGCATGGTGTAGGCGGCGGTGGGTTTGGCAGGATTCAATTTTACTGACAAGAAAAGGTCAAATGATGTATTAAGTTACAATACACTGGTCATTAACTATTTAAAATGAACCTCAAAGAGGGTCAGGTACTTGCTGCTGGTGCTTTCACCCGTGGTTTGTGTGTAGGTAGGTAGTCCTGGGGGGAAATCAGGTTGTTCAGTTCAAGAAGATCTTTGTCTACACACCAGGAAAAGGCTGATTTGACTGAAAGAAAAAGCATCCTATAAAAAACATTATTAACAACAGCAAGCTTACTGTGTATCTCAGTTAAAAAGAATGGCATTTTACTGCACTATAAACTTCATGAAAAGGTTTTCATCTCACCTATGTAGAGGCCTTGGATATTATCAACGCCTTCTACCTGCTCTTTCATTCGCTCATAGTCCTGGTTTTCTGTGGCTGCAGCCCTGGCTCTGGCCTGAATTATATGGCTCTCCAGCATGTCTGCCTCTTTTATACATCGGCTGTATTCAGAATAGGCCTAAGTAATCACACATCACATAATAATGATGCAAATTATTTTAATTGCAATCTTTTGATACTGAATTAAGAAGCATTGGTAGTAAAGGTCTTAGCTACCTGTTGAAGCTCTTCAATGTATTTATCATGGTAGCTGCTTCGTCCAGGCTTTGTCTTGATGAGGTTGGATAAAGTGCCTTTCCCAATTATGTCTTTTGTGTAAAGGTCTTTGAAGGTGCTTGCAAATACATGAGAAATGTCCTAAAATGCAGTACAGATGAGGTAGCATTGTGAGCCAATGTTTATTTGGGGTTTAAGAGCGAAAAGATACTGTGCGTATTACCTGGGATTTTCCTGAGGCAGGTCTGTGACTGTTCACAGATGGGTCAAGCCGTGACTTTGGTCTTGCCTGTGGTTGTTCAAGCATGGCTGCTACGATAGCTACCATGTGACTAATGCTAAAATTCGAAGTTGCTAAACAGCGAACTTGGCATTAGAAGGGTCCTACACTAAGAAATGCGTTTGCGACCACGTCAAGTCAACATTAAGATCAGGTAGTGTTAGCAAAACTCAACAAACGCACACAGCTCTGTGGCTATACATTATCTTCAGTCAGCCGTGTATGTGTACATGTGGTTTCCATGGAGACAATAAAGTCATTTCCGCTCCAAGAAATAAAGCATAAAAATAAAAATTACTTTAAAAAATAGATAACTGCACCTTCAAATTATACAAGTCTTTCTTACGGGATATTTATAAATGCAACGAAGGAGTAAGCAGGGGCGGATCTAGAACATTTTGGGCGGGGTGGCCAGACTGAAGCTCAGACTCAGAGAGGGGTGACACATTTGAAATACATATAAAAAGTCAATTAACCCCCTATTTCTGTAAAATAATGAACCATACATTATTAAGAATCAGATTGTTTATTCTGTTTGAAAATGAGACACACATAGTGCTTTCTTTGCTAATTTTGGCTGTGCTCCTTTTCTTTAAAGGGCTCATATGAAGTAGTTACAACAATTATTGTCATGCAAAGAATTTTCACACCATTGTAGAGCTCATGCGAAGCATTTGTCTCCGGCTTTATGCAAAAAGAGCAGTTACTGAGAAATAAATAATACTACTAAAATACATTATAGTCAGTAGCTTTTGTTTGGGAAGTCAAGATGCCCTAAACAAAACCCTTAACTGTGTTGGTCAGCTCGAGCGGTGCTCGATGACACTTATTTGCTCCTCTTGGTTTACCAGACAGAGCAGTTATGCTTACAAGAACTGTCCCGGGACAAGATTTTTTTAGACAGAACAAACACACACACTGAAAATAGAGACACTCACAAAAAGGGATCTGCCTAACTCCTCATATAGTACAGTCTAGCAATGAACACGGCCCTGTGCTTCCAATGCACAAATGACTATTACTTGATATTACCATCACTGCCATATTATCCTCTGAATTTATCCTGTACACATGACATCTATTGCATGTAACTGTCCTGGAAAATGGATGCCTCCCCTCCTGCTCACATGTTGTACAGATTGTAAGGCCCTTTGAGACAAATTTGTGATTTGTGATACTGGGTGATATAAATGGAATTTGACTTGTCTTGACTGGTGACACCAAAAAACAAACAGTCATAAAGTTTTATATTTGTGTTCACAAAGCAATGAGCTATACATGATATTATAAAGTACATATTCTGTTCAATTCAGTTTCATTTATATAGTGTCAACTTGCAACAAAAACCATGTTAACATGCTGAACATAGTAAGGTCAAGACAGTATTACAGAAAAAAAAAACAACAAGCACCAGGTGCCAGTGGGGAGGAAAAACTCTCTTTAAAAGAAGAAACCTCCAATAGAACCAGGGTCTTGGTGTGTGGCCGTCTGCCTCGACGAGTTGGGGTGAGTGGACAGCAGAGAAAGAAAAGAAGGGCATCAAGAAACAACAGTTCAGTAACTGCTCCTCAGAAACATACAGCTCCAAAGCCATGGATACCTGCAGAATGGTACAGGGAGAGAGAGAACAAACTATGGGAGAGAGAAGACACAAAATTAGTGACATGCAATGATGGGATAAGACAGTAGAAGAGAGGCTAGGAGAAGTGCTAAGTGCATCATGGCAGGTCCCCCTACCAGCATAACTAAGAGAAGGTATTCCAACCCTAACCTATCCTAGATTGCACATCCAAAAATGTCATAGACACATTTCCATAGGCAAAATGCAAGCCACCTTGTTGACTAAAACCCACTGGTATGGATAAATCAGCAGCTACAGGACAGTCAGGTGTGGGTTGGAGTGAAGTGTTGATACTCCCAACATGAACTGTGTTGTGTAAAAAGGTAGCGAGGAGAGGCAACAGCACACATCACACCATACAGGGCAGGTCTGTAGCAGACTGGGGCAACACCCTGAATAAATCAAATTCCACTCTATAAATGCTAGAATGCAACAGAAAAATCACAACATTGAGTTAATGCTTAATACAACCAATGTTTTCATTAGTGTTTGTACAAGTGTTTATTCATAGTCTGTGGTGGTAGAATTCCACTCAAAGGTGTAGTTTCTACTGAAAGGAAGCTGAAGGCCAGCCATGGCGCCGTACAGTACCTGTCAGACCGGTGTTGCAGTGGGTGTGGGCTGAGGGGCATTAGAGTTTCACTGGCTGGCTGTTCACTGATTTGACAATTGGCAAGTTGGTTGTCATATCACTGAGATCACTGTGGATGAGAGGTGCACTTCTACCCCTTGGCTTGGTGATTTATTTTGACTGAAATCAGAATGGAGGTAAAAGACACAGCCACAAAATATGGTGAGTTGCACATTACGCACAGATTTACTGCTACTTCTAGACCAATACTCCTGCTTCTGAAAAGAATTGATTATATACTAATATACTGTACGCCATCAAAACCAAGTGTGTGTGTCGTGGGAGGGCGGAATTGGTGCTTTTAAATACGGATTATTTTGTTTTGGTAAGTTGTGGTTTCGTTTGGCGACAGGTTTGTGTTGTCAGAATAGTTTCACGTTTCTTTCAGCTGCAGAACACTCGGCAGTGGGTCAGCTGAAACATGGGTGCGTTTATGCTATTCGCCATTGGATGGCGCTATTTCACAGCTCGTGAGTTCCTCGAGGATTCAATAACGTGTTCATAGCTAAATTGCCTACTATTGGTTTTAATTGTATTTGGAAATAGAAAAAGTAATCATGCAGCCGAGTTAATATGGAAAATAAACTGCCTGCCAGCTACAGTAAAAGCTGCATCGGTGCCTATAAAGTCATTATCCAGCTTATAATGTAATTTTATCTTCATAGAGACAACTGTAAACTTCCCCTTGGAGTGAGACTTACGAGAGGGAGCTATATTGACAGAATGGCTCATTAGTGCAAGTGACGGGTGTCCGTACCGCTTTAAGATATTTTAACACCAATACCATTTTGAAACAGGAAATAAAACTAAAGACAGACCTTTATCCCATCGCGTTAAAAGCCCTCACCAGAGTGTCCAGAAGCCCCTGAGGAGAACAGAGCGATACATGAGCTTAGACCCGCCCCGTGAAGGGTAAACTAGGCTGTGCCCTGCGCCTCTTCCTCGCCGAGCACAGATGAAACCCTAAACAGCCTATTTAAAATTTTTCGCACTGTAAATGAAAAAGTTAGTCACGATGTCTTGTATAAAAAAACTTCCGAAAATCACAAAGTCCAAGAAACAGAAGCAACAGGAAAAAGTTGAGCAGGAGAATGGAAAACTCTTAGGTAAGTTCGCAAAAGGAGAAAATACGTGCGCAGCAGAGAGACGCGCGCTTCGATAATTTTGCCAATATACGCGCGCGCACAGACACACACAAGCACCCATACATCTGATGTTTATATAACTTATGCTAATCTAGAAAAAAATAAGCCACCGATCGTAGGTAACGATGCCGGATTTGTGTTGTTGTTTGTGTTGCTAGGATGTGCCAAATGCGTAACTTTGCGTGCAGAGAAGAAGCTGCCCGTGCATTACTTCTTTATGTCTTTCAAACGAAGAGAACCACTGGAAGGCGTTAAACCTCAAATAAAGCTCAGTGGACGGAAAATCGCCAAAAGTTCTCCCTGGTTTTTGTTCCCATTGTTCAGTTCTCGTTTCACAGAATATGCCATACAACAGTTTCCTGATTTATTAGTCATCTTGGGAGAGAAGGACAGTTGTGGCTATTAACGTGAGGGAAATGATCTTTCAGTGAGTTTTCATTTAGCATTCCCTTCCTCTCTGGTTGGTGAAACTAAAGGCGAATAGGAGCAGGTTGTGTACCCTTAATGTTGACTGGGAATGATACCCCGAGGCTTCATTCCTTGTCATTTCACCTAAACTCTTGCCTTAGCTTGCCTTACAGGCTGTATGCAGTAGTCTTGCATGTGAAACGATCGCTCCAAACAAAGAAAAGAAACGTCACCTGATTCGCATAAACCAAGCCCAAAATGTACATTATGACTCACATTTATAGTTTGGGAAGTGTTACAAGTTAATGAGATATTTGAGGCTGTTTTGTTATCCTAGTAGTTGGTAGCTGATTAAACCGTGCCTCTCCTCTTCACTGTAATGTGGGTTAGTACATGAATATAGAAACTGTCACTTCAGCCTGACAGAGTTGAAGCTCTCAGGCTGTTTAGTCCAGTCCTCCTCCCTGTGGCCAAAGACTAATAAAGAGCCTCTGTTAATTTTGTAGTGCATTCAGTGGAAAAAATGCTTGTAATACTGTGGCCCAGGCCACAATCCCAATGGATTCCCTGAATAAAATGATCCCTAAGTGCCCTTTGCTTACTGAGAGAACATCACTTAATCTTCCTCTTGAATTAAAGTGCTTGTGTCATGCAATTAGCTGTGTACAAACTTCTGTTCCACTGAAATACAATGAGAAACATTACTATTACCTCACTTTTATAGAAACAGAAAACAAACTAAACACTCATGTCAGCATGCTCTGTTGATTCACCGTTGGGGATGGGGGTGTAGAGCAGAGGAATAAGCAATTTCATATTTTGGCTTAACAGGAAATGCTTGTTAGTCAGATCAGTTCATTGTTAGTTTGGATCTTTTCATGGTACTAGAATATACCTGAAAATGGTATCACAAGGCTCTAAGTACACCACCTTGCTATGAGCTACTTAACGCGGCGGTGGATCCAAATTATACAATGTGTGTGACTGTCTATTTTGTCCCCACTCCTGCAGGTCTGGAGGGAGATGAAGATCTCCAGTTCCTGCTTGACGGCGGGCAGCTGGTCAAGATTCGCTCCAGCTCCTGGCAGAAAACACGCTTCTTCAGACTGCAGGAAGACTGCAAGACTTTTGTCCAGGACTCCCAGAAAAAAAGAAAGAAAAGCCAGACCTGTGAGTGTTATCCTCTACTGGATACATGTATTTGCTTTGGGAGTAAGATCTTTTTTAATTACATGATGCACAAGATGGAAGAAGTTCTATAAAACCTCTCAGGTCCAGTTTCTATAGGTTATTTTACATGAGCTACTTCTGCTGTGTCTTTTTAGACTGTGCATTCATAGAGCTCTCCTTTCATATCTTAACAATAGCTCCTTGCCTTTCTGCACACACAAACACACCCCTCAAATTCCAATGGTGGTGGGGAATATGTGATAGGTGGTGGTGGAATGGAAACACACCGATAATGTGGTGTGGCCAAAGTAACATGGGAAACTAGTGTAAATCTTGAGTGTTCGTGTGTGTTTCTCTGTGTGTGAGACATAATCTTCCATTGATTTGTGGTCCAGTGAGACACATCCTTTGAGGATCTGGTAGCTCTGATTTCCCTCCAGTTCCAGCCACTCCTGCTGCTAACAGGCCTGATAACCTCTGAGTCTGAGCCTTGAACAAACACTAAAAAAAGCAGAGCAGTTTGCCTTATATTGCCCCACATAGGCACAGTAGACACAAAGATGGTACTGGGCAGTGTGAAGGGTCATGTGCTAAAGCTGTATTAACATGACCAAAGCTGCTCAGAGAGTTCACAGGTATTTCCTGATTTACAGATGGATGTGTTTTATTGTTTTCCTGTACGCTTTAGTATTTCCAAATGTATTTTACCTGCTTTATTTATGAGCTTCATTGGCTGCTCTACTTTACTAAAGCCAAACACCATGTTTATATAAGACAAGCCTAAGGTTTTTAAAGTCAGTGAGTAGTTTAAGCACATATTTACAGGTATCAGCCTGTTTTTCCACTTTGTTACTGTACATTACATGGTACCTACTGCATGTCTGTCTCCATCCTCTCTGAGGATTCTTCCTTTTTTCAGTTTTCCTTTTTCCATTTCCTTATCATGGAGCTTGTTCCTCATCAATCTGAAAATCTGGGCTATATAAATAAAATTGATTCCTCACTGTCTTGGTGTTGCAGCCCACAGCTTTACCATTTTGCTCCATTCTCACTGCGTCATTTTCAGGTTCAGCAAACTGACTGTGCAGCACCAAAAAACAGACAGATAAACTGACTGACTAGTGAACATAATGGAGCATTAGGCTGATTTAAAAAACCAAAAACAGAATGAATGCTCGACTTAAATTTATAGGGTGACAACACTTGACAAAGAAATCGAAAAGATTTCTTGGTGTTGTAAAAGTGGGTGCCACTGAGTAGACAACAAATAAGTTACTGGAAGTTTAAAGTTTAGATTTAAGTTGTAAATCATCCATGTCATGAGACTAAAGGTTAATCTGATCTTATTTTATACTCTGTAATTAAGAGGGAGAAAAGTCCTCCAGTCTGGATCACAATACCAGCAGAATGTGAAGCTCTGTTTTTGTTTGCACATGCAATGATGGTAAATTACCTTGATAGCATTCACACACATGGACACACTAATACACAGGCATGTAAACATTGTCACAGTCAAATGAGGCAGAAGTGAGAGCCGTAGCATTCAGTTATAAAGATGACACATCTCACGAGACGCTTTGTTCATATTACTGTCACTATTGTTGTTTGTCACAGTAATAAATGTGACAATTACAGTAGTATAAAATCTAGACCAAAAGTAACATTATCAGATTAGAATTTGACTAAACAATCTAACAGATAGGGTAAGTATGTGGTTAATGTTTTGCATGCCATTTCTAAAAATGTATTTAGTGCATATTTGACCAAGCTGCCTACTGTAATCAACCCTGAGTGGAATAATAACCTGAAGATTAATTTATTACATGCTCATTTACATGGCTAACTAATCTCCTACCACCAGTGGGAAATACTCTCTTCACAGTTGAATTTGGTCTTTTTCCCTCTGAAGAAAAAGAGGTTTAGAAACAACAGCATAAACCTTATCAGGCTGGCACAATAATCTCTTTGTGTGGAATCTGCTGTCTGCGTGACAAGGTTGGCATGACGTGACATGTGGCCAGTCTCTCAGGCTGGGCTTCTCTGAAACTTCTCCTAATTCACAACCATAAACTCCTCTACAGTCGTCCGTTTTGCTGGGGATAATGTACATGCCCAGATTAAACAAACACTCCCCTTCTGGAGAGTGCTTTTGGGCTGTTCATCCAGCAGTCAGATGAGTTTGCACCACCCAGTCTTGGCTGTGTGGGACCACACTGCCCCCCCACTGCTGTGTTTTTCTCTTTAAGTAAACTGACATATAAATTCTGCCTGCCTCAACACAGTCACAGGAACAGTCGTGGCACTTCATTAGAATCTCCAACCTCAGTGTGTAAACTGATTGTAGCCCAGCTACAGCATATGGCCTCTTAGCTAAGCCTGTGGTTTTTAGTTTGTTAGGAGGGCATTGGCTGCTCAAAGTAGAGCCTGCCCCTAATGTGTGGTTAAAACCATTCACACACCTGCTTTCTTTGATAAAAATATTTTTAGCCCTAGAAATGTCAGTCACAGTATTGCATGTGTGCCAGCGCATTAGGCAAGAAGATCACAGAAAGATTGCACCAAACTGTTGTAAAGTGCAGTGAGCAAATCTCCATGGAATGTGTTTGGGAAGCCAAAGAATCCAAGCGTTCAGCAGACAAAAACAAAATAACAACAACCACTTTTATTCGCCAAGTATGTTACACACACCAGGAATTTTGTTTAGGATACAGAACCGAGGCAGCCATCCCCAGTGCCAATTCACACACACTGATGGCGGTGCCGTCCCTGTAAGGCAATGCTCTACTCATCAGGAGCAACTTGGGGTTCAATGTCTTGGCCAAAGACACATTGACACGTGGTGTCTTCCTCCTGAGCCACAGCCACCCCTAGAGAGGCCGTCTTCTAGACAGTATCAGAGGGCTCTTAAGACTTAAGACAATATTGCTCAGGACAGTGTTTGGTAAACAAGATTTTGGAGCCGTAGTGTTATGTAACATGTTTGGTAGCTATGAAAAAGTTCATACTGGAGCACGCAACACATTTTTCACCCATCTTACCTATCCTCACCTTTATCTGGAAAAAATATGTTCAATTGTATCAGATTATATGAAGGATTTCTATTATTAAAGCTGCACTTACAGTGACAAACCTACAGAGGATTTGTCATCTGGGGGTTTTGTGCCAATTAGGACAAAAAG